GGCCTGTGAAAACAGAAAAGGAAATGATTAATTACCATTAACAACATTTATCGTGTTTCCAAATCGACAAACTCGAAGGTGTATAAAGAACAGACGTTCATACTCGCAGAAAGCCTCAACAAGAATCCGCAGAAACCCCAAATCCTCCAAAGGGGCGACCCTGTGATTTCAATTAACCCCGATTCTAGCTTCAACACCCCAAAAAACCTGGAAATTCCATTCAACAAAATTAGAACTCACAACGTACGCAGAAAAATTCACAAAGAAAAAACCCTAGTGTAGTGAATCGAAAAAGAAGGAGAGCTTATCTCTGTTCATTCGAAACCGCAAGTCCACCAAAACCATCGATCCGCCATCCATCGCGAGCCCCTTTCAAAACCTCGTCGCAAAGTCACCGACGGAGTTTCGAAACATCCTCATCACCCATTCGGTACACTGTTGACCCTCTGTTTAAAGTTTTCCTTATTTTTTGATTTGTTTTGTTCGCTTGCAGGTAGAAGGAGAAGAAACGGTGAGAGTGAGAGGAGAAACGTGAGACGAAATCAAGAAAGGGAGAAGAAACGGCGAGAGTGAGAGGAGAAACGTGAATCGAGATCGAGAAAGGGGGGAGACGGAAGCAAGAAGGATCGAGAACGGTCGGCGGAGAGAGAGAACGATTTAGGGATTTAGGATTTTGATTGTTGTCTTTCTGCATTTCGTTTTACCTTGTAATCAGACGCACGCGCACCCACAGTAATACGATGCACCTTACCACACGCACCCGTCAGATCCAACGTCTGACGTGATCACAAGCCACATGTGCACACTACCGTGAACCCCATTCACTCGCATCGCACAGAATCAAGCGCCTAACCCTTCCTTTTTTTTTTAAATCTTTAATTTAATCCGATTAATTAACCATTAAACCACTAATCTGTCTTTAATAACTAATTGACCCACTTAATCTTTTTATTTAATCTAATTAACTTCATAAAAATCATTAACCTTTTATTTAATTGACAACCAACTAATTAATTATTACCAATTCTTAATTAACTGTTTTTTTAAAATTAACTAATAATCTTTTTTTTTCTCACCAAACCTTTTATTAACAACCTTTTATTAATCATTATAATTAATCTACTTTCATTAATTAATTTTCACTGCTCTCTTTTTTGTTTAGCTAATAATTTCAATTTATCCATAATAACCCTTTTTTTTGTAAAATAATATAATTAATTTGTCCAAAATCCATTATAAGTGGTATTTAATAAAATTCTAACTCTTTTTTTAAAATCTCCATAATAACCTTTTTTTTCATTAATATTTAAAAGCCTTTTATCTAATAACAACGACTTTTTTCTACATAATATTAAAACCTATTAATAGTAATTAAGCTTTTATTTATTAATTAAATTTAATTAATTTATGACCCAAATCCCTTTCCTTAATTTAATTTACCCTTTTATCATTACAACTTTTATTTAAGGATAAACCTTTTCACATGTAAATTAATTTTTTTATTTTATTTAATAAGATAAAAAATAAAACCTCATATTTAAAACTAGTACTAAAATTAATTCTCACTAAATTAATTAAACATCTTCTCAAAAATCTCTCGCTTAAAATCGACCAATTAAAATTAATCAACAGCGTAAAATACAATCTAATCGTGCACACTCACATTCACGACACATTCACTCTCACACACTTCAGCGCTTTCATGCGTATGTGTATGTTTTACTTTTTTCCGCAATTTATTTTACAGTAATTTAATATTATCGTATTTATCTTTCTTGCATCGCATTCCGTCCAAAGGAAAAACCTACACATGATTCAACAATTGTGTGTAGTGCACATCATTTGCATCATTCTCCCCTACGATCCTTGATCCCATTTAAGTTGATCAATTAAGATAGATCCTACCCCATAGGAAGGATCGTTCTTTATCTTTTATAACATAGGAAAACAATACAACTCAACATACAATATTCAAACATTTACACAATAGAGAAATAGATGTTAATCATCTTAAGCGAGATAGAATCTCCACCCCACAACAATACAATCAATACCGTAGGAACTTTGCCTTAAGAGAGATAGAGGCGTACCTCGTCGATCCCTATCCGAGTACTTGAGCCCTTCTCTTAAGACGATGCAAAGACTACATTCCTACAACTTGTGGCGGTTAAATCTCCCTTAAAATGACAACGCATCTTTTCTCCTAAAATCAATCAATCAACTACCCTAAACCCATAGGAACTTTGACCACAGTCAAAGAACTCCTCAAACCCTTTAGGGGAACTACAAATACTCTGATTCCACTCCCGTAAGGATATGTAGGCATAAGATGCGACGTCTTATCGAGTATACTTAGAAATAAACCACTAGGGTCCTTTTAACTTTAAGCAGATAAACCATAGCAATAAACAACATAAAACAAGAGGTTCCTGTAGAGTACTACAGAAACATAAGATGCTAGCACCTTCCCTAAGTTTAACCGACCCCCGAACCTATAACTCTCTAGCTTGCATTTGCATTGCATCGTGGGAATTTCGATCTTTATCACTTCCTTTGGACAAATCAAAGTTCGGTTGCAAAATGAATTAAAGATTCAAACTAATCAGTAGTTTGGTATCCAAATTTCACCGCGACACAGGTGTATCTCCAACAGTCAACGGTGTTTTCTCTTGAGCCCGTGTGGTATCCAGACCTCGGCTTCCACCGATTTATTTCTTTAGCCCGTGCGGTATCCAGACCCTGGCTTCTACCGGTTTATTTCTTAATCCCGTGCAGTATCCAGACCCCGACTTTCACTGGTTTTATTGGCTCAAGCCCGTGAGGTATCCAGACCCCGGCTTCCACCAGTTTATTTCTCTTGCTTGTGTGGTATCCAGACCCTGGCAGATTATGGTGTTCCCTTTAAGCCCGTGCGGTATCCAGACTTCGGATTTCACCGGTTTTATTGGCTCAAGCCCATGCGGTATCCAGACCCCGGCTTCTACCAGTTTGTTTCTCTTGCCTGTGTGGTATTCAGACCCCAGCAGATTATGATGTTTCCTTTAACCCGTGTTGTATCCAGACCCCGGTTAACATCATTTTATCCCTTTAAGCTCGAGCAGTATCCAGACCCTGGCTTACACTAATTGATTCCTGAGCCTGTGCGGTATCCAGACCCCGATCGATGATTTATCTTGCCTATGTGGTATCTAGACCTTGGCAGATTACAAAACTTTCTCTCGCTTGTGCGGTATCCAGACCCCGGTAGATTGCGGCAGACGCGTTCAACTTATCACCTTTTTCCCAACAGAGTTTTCGATTATGATTATCAGCTACTTTTTTTCTGGCAAATTTCCGAGTTCTTTGGTATTAAACCGTCTTTTATCTTGAATGTTTGAAAGTCGTTCGCTTTTCATCCTTTCAAGTCCAAGTCGTTTGAATAGGGGCAGCTGTTGTACCCCAAAATTTGACCAACCTTTTTCTTACTTGGCTTATTGTTTCATTTCATTTTAGCATGTTGCTTTTGCATAGTATTGTTCTTAACAGGGGATCAAGAGTTGTCTTGTGCCATTCAAGAGAAGAGTTTCCTTGGTCTCAACTTCAAGCAAAAGTATTTGTCATCACCATGAAGTTGTCAAAGCTCTTTGAAAGGAGAGTTTGGTGTGTGGGTTCTATCTCTCATTCTAAGGACCATCAGAGGGTCAGCAGAGGCTCATGAGACCTTATCATTGGTTGATGCGTGGTTTAAAAGATCATTGAGCAACTTAGAGGTCTTTGTGGAGTTTGTATGTCCATTCAATTCATCTGATCAACTTAAGGTCAACTGTGGACTTAAGGGAGTTTACAACTTTTTTCCAAGTCATTGAGGCCATGCGAGGTCACTTTAAAGCATCTAGGGTGCCATGATAAGATCAAATCAAAAAGGATCAAGAGTTCAAGAAGTTACTAAATTAGGGTTTCAGATGATTTTAGTGTAAAATCCCCTCCTTTAGTGCTCAACTTCAAAGACAATTTACCTCATGATACAAGGTCAACCTAATTTTCATGCAAACATGAAACTTGTAGGACATGTTCCAAGCTTTATTTTGAATACAAGAACTCATTCATTGAGTTTGTACAACTCAAGTTATGATGCCAACAAGTTAGGGGTCTCAGATGAAGTTATTTTTGGTCAACTAAAGGTTAACTCACTTCCAATGCATTTTTAACCTAGAATCATATTTATCCTCAACTTCAAGTGAACATGAAAGTTGTTCCCCAGGGTCTTAGCTTTCCAAAAAAAGTCCTAAAAGTCCTTGATATCATTTTTACATCTCAAGTTATGGACCTCATAAGACAGGGGTATTTTGGAAAGTTTCATTTTAGGTCATTTGTTTATAATTAATAATTTAAGAGATGGTTCAAATTATTGAGTATCCGGAGTTTGTGCTAGCCTCCAAACTTTTAAGTATATTATTTAGTGAACTTAAATGTTTCATGTTTAACATGAGTTGGATGAGTAGCTACCCATCAGTCATTAATTTCATTTTTTTTAATAATAATAATTTATTTTAAGATAAATTTAAATTTTGAATATACTATTTTCTTCTCATATTATAAACAAATTTAATACTGGATGAGTTTTACGATATTATTTTTACTGTTTTTTATATAAGAGACAAAACGACATAAATGTCATGTTACAACAAATGGACTTGGTAACAAGTCACCAAACACATTGATTGTAACACATACCCTACAATGCACAACAAGACAAACTTCCTCAACATCAACAAATTTATTCTGATTTCTTTTAAAGTTACCACTCACTTTATTAGCATGCATCATCCATGTTTTATGTTACCTGACTTGTCAGATATTCCAAACAAAATCTATACCATTAAGTCCCCACTGACAAAATTTTACAAGATCGAATCATTTTGTTCTTAGCTCCAAACTAACAAATTTCAATCAAATCTAAATGATCCAAACATGATCTTGTAATGTGCATAAACAAAATTTTCAAATTTTATTTTTCCCTCTCAAATAAATGACCAATTCATGAAAGAGAAAGCCAAACAGTGAACACTGTTGTCTTCGGCAAGCACTTTCCACGCGACAGCTTGATCATATGACGCGTGCCGCCCCATTGTTGACATGCAGATCCCAGCTGGCATACAAGCAAAGCCCTGACAAGAAAACTGAGTTGTTAAAAGCAAATTTTGCGTTGTAACGATAAAAATGCAAACAATGTCAAACTTGAGGATATTACCTGCTGCATTAGTTTGGCGAAATACCCAATCAAATTCTTGCGAGCGGGGTCGTCGAATATTTTGTCCAGGGAGATGTCTTGTAGAGCCACTAGTGTCGTTTCCAGCATGTCAAGGCCAGCCTGGTTTGCGAAGATGAATACAGGTACCGTCTGCAAAACCAAATAGAATACAGTCGTTTACATTAAAATCTTATTACATGCAAAAGATCGGTTTTGTACTATAAGATGAGATTGTGGACTGACCTTCAAAGAACAGCATAAAATAGCATCTGGATGATGCCACAAATGTTTCAGTACCATATCACCGGTAAGAGATTCAGATCTCAGCAGCTCCGTCGCGAAACAATTACTGATGTGAGATAAGAAATGTTGAAAGATGCATAAATAGAAATCATGTTGGCAAAATTTGATAGTGATCATTTGAGATTTGTGGAGACTTACCGGTAGCTCTTGGAGATCCATTGAGCTAGTGTAAGGGCTTCTGGAGAGCCAGGGGAGAGTTTTGCTCCAACGGATGGGTTAGTATTGGATGGAGATATAGCAATGGCAACTGCCTGCACGGCGGAAATCACGCGACGGACATACTGACTTGCCATGGCTGCAACATTATCCTGCAGACCGCTCTCAAAAGGAAACTGGAAGGCAACAGTCAACACGCATCGATTGTTAGGACACGATACGTCACCAGTGGCATGAGTTGTTGTCGTGCCTATTTCAAGACCAGATGTCAAATCCAAGGTTCGATTTGCTGTCATGGCATTATTTTTATCGCCCTGAAATAGATTATGACGTCAATTTGATTACAAGGCTTCGTATGTGACCAAAGGTACCGATTAGAGAAAAATCAAATGCAAAGAAACAGGACTCAACTGGTTGTGAATTCAACAGGGCAATGCGGAAACCAGACGGCACCAATGGAGCATCTTCTGGGAACATGTCGTCAATTGGAGCAAATATGAGCTCGGAACAAGCTCCCACGGCATTCTCATCAATTCCATTACATAACTGCTCAAATAGTGGTGATTGTGTTGATAACAGTAACAACAGCAGCAAGAAATCAACAAACAAGCAAGTAAGCAAAAAAAAGTTGGAGGAAGCACCTGTAAGAGATGAACATCCCTCGAAACAAAAGAATCTTCTTGACCAAGAGCATGGCCTTCAAGGCGGATAATTTCTAGCATCTGAAATATTAACACAAATCAGTATGAACCAAATTATAAGAAATATACGCAATTACCATAAGAAACAAAAGAAAAACACGGTCAAGGTCAAGCAAGCAGCAATAATCTTTCTAAGGGATCCATGACACAAATCAAGATGCAATTCCATCTAGAATCTTGCAATTCCATCTAGAATCTATGCCAAAACTAGGGTATACCTCTTCATGTTCAATTGTCTGTCCAAGAGGCATGATTGCTTGATTGCCGGTGAACCTCGTTGACCTCATTCCAGGATAGCCATAGGTGCCAGCTTTAAGCGATGCAGCCGAAAAGGCGTCAACACTAAAATCGGCCCACTCTGAGCGATGTTCCCTCAGAAAACGAACTAAAACAGCGGGAGTGGTGTTCTGCAAGTAAAGCAAAGTGAAAACTTTCCGTGTAACAATTAGAAGATCTAAATGTTAAATTAAAGGGCCATTTAATATCTCATGCGTGCAGCGTGTCGATGGGTTTACACACTCACTTGGAGTAACATAGAAGCTTTGGCACAGACAATTCCTCCAAGGAGTGAAAGGGAACTTGCTGGATTAGAAGTGCTGCTCAAGTTCTTGATTGAGTTTACTGAAATAGTAACACCCCCGTCGCCGTCACAGTGCACAACAGACCAGCCATCATCATTGAATCCATTGACAGCATCGTTGAATCCTCTGCAACAATGATTCATTATTATAACCAATACAAAAGATTATTTTGTATACAGCATGCTAAAATCGTTTTGACGTGCCTGATCAACCGCTGGCTAAAAGTTCTCAAAACAGCAGGTTGCCTGCCCATGCTATATACCACCTCACCACTTGTTTCTTGCGCTATTTGCTTGATATAGCGAAGTGCCTGTCACAAAAGCTACCGTATTAATATCTTCCGTCTATAATAATCGCAATAGTCTACCAAAGTTTGAGATAGAATCCAACATTATGAATTAATAATAGTGTACTTACAGAAATCGTCATTCTCTGAGCTACCATTTTTGATGATTCATAGTATGGCCGCAGCACTTCAGGAACACTCCATGCCTTGAAGAAAATATCAATCATATTAATTAATGTATATGAAAAGAAGTTTAAAAAATGTCCTACGCGATATTAGCTCATTGCCGAGAACTCAAACCTGTAGGTCTAGGTGGTCTACAATGTGGATGATTGACCCTCCACCTTCACATGGTCGAACCAAGTAGCCACTAGGGAGCATTTCAGCTCTCACAAACTGTGAGGCCGCAGCGGCGTTAGGGCCAGCACCAGAACCAGACAGTGACCTTTCACAAACCTTATAAAGTGCAATAAAATATCATAAGTGCAATTATACTAAATGATCTTCCCAATAGTAATGAATTAGAGATATCGTACAACAACTATACTTACCACAATACTTCCATTTTCAAGATTTGTAGTGTATCTTAGAGTCCAGAAATCCCGAGCAGTAGACAGCGTCATTGGAGAATATGTCTGCAGAAAACTTAAAGTTTATGCACGAGGCTTACTAAATAACAAATAACAGACCCTAAATTTCAAACTTCATCGCTCACCTGAGTGTAAAGAAGTTCAATTGTCCCTCCATTTCCAGTTGAGAACATTGTGAACATTTCTGAACTCCGACAATCCCGAAACCAAGTTGAGCGGTCTTTTAGGATCTCCACAATCTATTGAAAATTCCCAGCAGTTCAAATATGCAGAAAGCTTACAAACTTTAATAATGTCAAGAGAAATTACTGAAAAATATCAATTCTTATTTATTCCCCTTTTTAATTACCTTTGAAGGCTCTAAACTAACAAGACCACAGGCTCGAGCTGCCACTCCGTTGCAACCTTGAGAAATGGCAAATATCCCAACCGAATCCGGACCAGGCTGACAACAAAGTTTGAAAGTAAATATAGTATCGATGCTGGAAGGAACTTAACCTCAATATCAAAATCAGTACAGTATCACAATTGTAAAAGCAAAATCAATCATTAACTTAGAAGCGCGATTCTCGCTACCTTCATCCCAGGCATCTGGACCCATTCGACAGCAGTTCCGGTAGCCTTTGAAAGGAACTCTGCCAATGTTTCCTCTGCAATTGATTGGAATCTGAAAGATCATAATAAAAAAAATCAATCAAAGAAAGCTCCACAAGATAAATAAATCAAACAAAAAAGCTCTCAAATCATAAGCTTGAAATTTACCCAGCAGGGCTATTAGCATCTCTCATGGTACTTCGAGGAGTAGCAGCCGCAGAATCATTGCCATTGCCATCAGCATTTGGAGCTGCTGAGACGGCCTGCAATTACATGACAGCAAGTAACAATACAAATCAACATTTGAAACAACTCAAATCATAACAGATAACAACTACATTCCTCAACCGAGCAATGACAATTATCAATTCACAAAAAGATATATATACAAGTAGTGAATGAAAATGAACAATGATAGAGCTTACGGGTTGCAATTGCTGGCGCATGAACCCATTCTCATTCACCAGCTCCGAAACCTGTTTCTGCAACCGCTCATTTTCCTCCGTCAACAGCTTATTCATTGCCGCTAGTTTCCTGTTCACAGTCTGAAGCTGAGAAGCCTCTTTTCTCTGCTTCTCTCTACACCTGCAAAACAAAATAAAAAAGGCACAAATCAAATCAAACAACCGAAAAAACCAAACCCCTTCACAGCAAGGTGAAATCAAAATCTTCATTACCTTCTATTCTGAAACCAAACCTTGATTTGCTTAGGCTCAATGTTGCCTAAAACTGGACACTCCCGAATCAGCTGTTGCCTTCTCAAGGAACTAGGCTTAGAGCATTCAACATAAACCTTTTCCAAAGCTTCAATCTGTTCAGCAGTGTAGCGGACATACTTCCCAGAAGAATCAATGTGTCTCTCAATGCTGTTATCTCTCTGTTGCTGAGCAACAGCCATTGCCATCTTCTTCTCCTATTCTAATATATCAAAATCATAAACAATCACACCCCAAAAGTAAAACTAAAAGGGCCAACACAACGCAACACAACACAGCAAAACAACAAGCACCACAAGATTCTTATTATAACACTCACTCTTAGACCCCAAATAAGGGTAGATTATACTACACTACTCACACAAAATACAATACATATACATATACAAATACATATACAATTACAAATAAACAAGTTCAAATGAAGAAAAAGAATCAGGTATCACAGAAAACTGAGAAGTGAAACGGAACTAAACATAAAGTTCCAAACAGTGAAACACGAAATCCTTGTTCTAACAACCTTCAAACACGTTTCTTTTTCTTCCTTTTCTGGTTTCAACAAAACAAGTTACTGCCAACTGTTTTTTTTTGTCACAAAAAGCCGGAATTTTTGCAGTCTTGTTATTTCTAGAAGAAAAAGAAAAAACCGAAACCCCACTTACCAAAACTTAATCTTTTTTTCACTGAGCTAAACTTGGAAGCTCCTCAACTGAATTTACGCGTTTTTCTTTTATTTGGGCAAAAGCCCAATGTAAAAGCCATAAAAATAGTTACAAAAATTCAAACTTTGAAGCGACCCTTTAAACTCAAGAGGCTGTGGAGCTTGAGGAAGAAGATTTGAAAAGGTGGTGTGAATGGAAAGTGAAGTTTTGAGCTATGTGGTACTATAAAAGGCAATGAAGATTCAAGAATGAAACCCTAAGCATATTGAACATCAAAAAAAGGGGATTGAAAAACTTGAAAGGGGTTTGAGGGAGAAGAAAGAGAGAGAGAGGTTATGATTTGAGAAATGAGACAGTGATCTGAGGTGAAACAGTGGGAATAAAGTCAGAGAGAGAGAGAGAGATTGTATTGCACGCATATCGACGACTCAAAACAGAGCTTTCTTTTTTAGTTTCAGTTATTTACGTAATTGTCCTTGTTGTTTGTTTCTAATGACATGGTATAGCCCTACACTACTCATGTCACTTTCAATACTCACCATGGTTCTTTTGTACTAGTAGTATACTAGTACTATTTTAAAAATTGAATTGAGGATGAAATGACTCGGAGAAATAAAGTTTAAGTTTTAATAGGTTGAACTATGGTTGAATTGGATTATTAATTAAAAAAGTATTTTTTTTATATTAAGTAAAAGAAAAAAATTGAGATGTGATTTGATTTGTTTAGATTTGAATTGATCTTGATTTCGGAAATTTAGAACAAAATATGGTTGAATTAATTGAAGAATTGATCGATTCTTGAATTAGTCAATCAACGGGTTGATTGATTTATAGTTTAATTAATTAAATCGATTGTCTGAATTGGTTTTGAAAACATTGAGTTTTAGATTATTATGTGGTTCAATTTATTAAGTTGATCGATTGTTTGAATTGATTTTGAAAATATCAAGTTTTAGATTATTATTATTGGAGTATAATGTTGAAGATGAAGAAGATGGAAGAGAGAATCTGTTAGGAACTAACTTTTAATTTCTAAAAGAAATTGTGTTGCAATTAAATGAAATGCAACTAACCACTTGAATTTGAATTACAACTAATAGCATCTCTTTATTCATATTCAAGACTAAAAATCAACAACACCAATTTCATTTGATTAAGTGTTCAGTTTTGATTGCCTTGGTCAATTTTGATTTTTTGGTCATCACATTTGCAAGTTGCTTCTGATTGCGCAGAAAATAAAACTTTGTGTCAATGTGTTTGCTCCTTTCATGCAGTACTAGATTCTTGGCAAGGCTTATAGCCAATTTGTTATCAATCATCATCCCCACATACTTGCTTACCTTGATCTTCAAATCCGACAATAAGTTCAAAATTCAAACAGTTTGACACGCAGACAAAGCATATGTAATGTACTCAGATTCACATGTTGACAATGCAACCACTGGTTGCTTCTTGGAGCATCCAAAAATTTGACCTCTCAAATACTTGAATAAACATCCATAAGTATTTCTTCTATCAACTTTGTCTCAACACCAACTAATATCCATCCTTCAGTATTGAAATTGTTATTTGATCTTCATTCACACAAAGTTTTGAAAGTTGACTTAGATGTATGTCACAGACATTGTTAACGGCATCAACAAATAATTTTAGTAGTTTAGGGTTCACCAAATTTAGGGCTAAAGTTAGTTTTTCAGGTAGTTTCTTAATATCTACTAGACAGTTCCAAAGTATAATATGTGGCGTCATAAATAACTAGTGTTGAGCAGTGAAGAGGGGTTGAAGAAGATAAACGATGAAGTATCTCAAACTTCATAGAGTCTCCATTCCCTTGCCATGAAATCTATTGTACACAATCAATGTTGCTATGGTGAGAAGAAAAGGAAGAAAAATGTTGAAATTCGTTATCTTTCTCCATTATCTTACTAACAAAACATAAAGCAAATTCAATTTTTTTTTTACAAAATAACTACCACATTAATGATAGTCTTGTATAAAATTAATAATATCATTTATGATACTTAAGTATTAATATTTAATATAATAACATTAAATTAGAGCAGTTATATACGAACTTTTGAATTAAATATTTAATTAAATTTAAATATTTTTAAAACAACCAATAAATAAAGTAAATAAAAAATTTAATTTATGTGTAATTTTTATTAAATTCTTAATTAAATTAAAATAAAAACTACATTTATTATTCTATAAAATTAATTTAAATATAATAAAATTATAGGTTTTTAGTATAAGGATATTTTGATCTTTTTGAAAGGTAAACATATTTCTTTCTCTTTTATTTCTATTATTTTTCTCTTATAGCAATCAATATATCAAATCATCAATATTTTTCTCATATTTCTCTTTTTTCACACTTTTTCTCACTTTTTTCTCTTCTCGCTTTCTTCTCACAACTAAACATGTCATTTGTTTGCTATAAATGAAATAGAGAAGAGGGAGAAAAGGGAGAGAAAAGTTCAAGAGAAATACTAAATTTTTCATATTGATATGCTAAGAAGTAGAGAAGAGAGATTGAATTATGATGGAATCCATCACTTTTTAATCTATGAAGATTTTTTATGGCATCTTTTTTTTTTCACTTTCCATACATTACCCCTATTTAGAGGTGGCAAAACGGGTCATGGCCCGCCAGACCAATCTATGCACCCGCCAAAAAATGTTGGGTTGGATAGGGATTTTGTGTTCTTCTACCCGCTCAGTCCGCCCCGCCTTGAGCACGCCAAAAAAAGGGTGGGTTGGCGCGTTAGCCCACCAACCTAGTTATCAAACACTCAAACTATTTATTTTGGTGAGTTGAAATGTAAAAATAAGTTTACTAATCTATTAAAAGATAAATAAAAAAATAAGCGGGCAACCCTGCTACCCATTAACTTGCCACCTTAGCGGGACGAATTAGATTTTTAAGCCCAATTTCACTTGACTTGCTTGTCCGCCCCGCTCTCTTTTTTGATGGGCAAGGCAGGCAGGACAGACCGTTTTGCCACCCTGCTATAAATGAAATAGAGAAGAGGGAGAAAAGGGAGAAAGAAGTTCAAGAGAAATACTAAATTTTTCATATTGATATGCTAAGAAATAGAGAAGAGAGATTGAATTATGATGGAATCCATCACTTTTTAATCTATGAAGATTTTTTATGGCATCTTTTTTTTTTCATTTTCCATACATTACCCTTATTTAAAGGTGGCAAAACGGGTCATGGTCCGCCAGACCAATCTATGCACACGCCAAAAAATGTTGGGTTGGATAGGGATTTTGTGTTCTTCTACCCGCTCAGTCTGCCCCGCCTTGAGCACACTAAAAAAAGGGTGGGTTGGCGCGTTAGTCCACCAACCTAGTTATCAAACACTCAAAATATTTATTTTAGTTAGTTGAAATATAAAAATAAGTTTACTAATCTATTAAAAGATAAATAAAAAAATAGGTGGGCAACCCTGCTACCCATTAACTTGCTACCTTAGCGGGACGAGTTAGATTTTTAAGCCCAATTTCACTTGACTTGCTTGTCCGCCCCGCTCTCTTTTTTTATGGGCAAGGCAGGACGGACGGACCGTTTTGCCATCCTACTCTTATCCTTCTATTACTTTATTTATTTTTCAAAAGAAAATTAACGACTTGTTTTTTTGTGTAAATAGTTCACATATCTATTTATTTTTTTCACATAAATTGCTGACATTTTTTTTTTATTTTTTTCCACATAAATTGATATTTGTAATTTTTTGTATCCTCTATATGTGGTTGATATTCATTTAAATTTTAATAAATAAATTATTTTTTAAATAAAATAAATGATCTTAAATAGTTTAACTAATTTGATTATATTTTTAAATTATCAAATTGCATAGATGAAAACAAATGATTTAATTAATTAACTCAAAATTAATTAATATTAGAAAAAGTGAATTAAATATTTTTTAATAAAAGAATATTTTAATACTTTCAGATTTTATCAACAATTCTCTCTCTTTTATTTCTCTTCTTTATCTTTTAAACCAAGCAATATCTCAAATATATTATATTTATATCGTCTTTCTCTCTTATTATACACTCTCTTCTTTATTTCACTTTTCTCAATTTCTCACCATGACCAATCACACAGGGAATAGAAAGTGTGATGAATTTAGCGATTGATTTTTACATTTTTTTCATCGTTAATAGGACAAAAAAGACTAATATGAAACATTTTGAAGAGTGAAGAGACTAATATGGACCTTTTTAAAATTAAATGACCAAAATAATCTCGGGTTAAAATACAGAACAAAAAGGATATTCTCCCTTAAGTATTTTATAAATCTTGTGAATGTATTTAATATGTATTTATATTTTTTTTTAATATTGTAAAAAATAATTATGCTTAAAAGTGTTTAATTTGTATTGTTAGTTTTTAAAGAGTTTTTACATTGTGAAAACAATCACGTCTATTACATTTTTAGAAGTGTTTGACTTTTAACATAATTATCTTTAAAATCAAAATATGATTTATAATTTTGGCTTAGTTGCAACTA